ATATAATACAGTTTTTCTATCTAAAATTTTAGAAAGAAAAGGGAAAATGGCTGGACTTTAACATGTTTTAATTCAACAAATCTACTAACAAGACTTGTGCTGATGATGGACAACACATCTTATTCAGCCATTTTAAAATCTCTTTAAAAAGACTGGGATCCAGGGGATATATATAGGCTGTGTCCAAAACAATAGGCCAGGTCTTCCGAAGGCCTAATTCCTCGGCCGCCTACGTCACAGAAATTTTAAAATTACAGTATACATTGGAAACGAGTCTCTGCCCAATTTCCTCAATAAACAGTGCAGCTGAAACCAGTCAGTGATAGTGGTTCATGTCTTCTCTCTGTCCTGCTGGATCAGGTCTTAAAAACAACAACAGAGGCTCTGATCCAGGTCAACATCCAGAAGAACCTGGTGGGCTCAGCCATGGCAGGAAGCATCGGTGGCTTTAACGCACACTCAGCCAACCTGGTGGCTGCCATCTACATTGCATGTGGACAGGTAGAGTTGTTTTTGTGAGTTCATTTCATATTCTGTCAGTGATCTTCAGAGATGATCCATAAAGATGTGTTGTTCTTCAGGATCCAGCTCAGTCAGTGGGCAGCAGTAACTGCATCACACTCATGGAGCCCTCAGGACCAACAGGAGAGGACCTGTACATCACCTGCACTATGCCCTCTATAGAACTGGGTACTGTGGGAGGGGGCACCAACCTGCCCCCKCAGCAGGCCTGCCTCCAGGTACACAAACACACACTTTATGGATGAATGAAAAACATATTGCTAATTTGAAAACAAATAAATCACACAGRTGTTTGCTGAGCTATGAAACATTAGTGGGGTCTGACAAAGTTTGAGACTTTGTTGCTGGAAGTACACCAGGTGGTTTTAAACACAATCAGGATGGTTTTCAYTGTTTTCAGGTTTGGATATGAATTATATTCACAGATCTGACCTCCTGACAGGAAAAGTTATATTTTTTAAAAAATATCCTTAAACTGATGTTACCTGATAGTCTAATCACCCAACTCTGAATACTTGTTGGGAATGATGATCAGTTAGCTTAATATCTGTAAATTGAGCTTAAGTCATTTGTGTGTTTACAAAGTAAGCTGGCTGTAAAGGCCATGTTATACTGAGTCAACACCAGAAGTTGAGTTGTAGAGTTAATGGTTACTTTTGGAAAGTTTTGTTAAAATCAGCTCAATTGTTCAGGAAATATTTCTGCTAATGMTACAAACGCACACATTAAAAGACACTGGAAAAAAACATTCCSTTTGGGCAGGAAAAATGTTGGAAATTGCTGATTTAAGCAGTAGCTCCTATTATCATAAAAACCCTGAAATTGACCTAACCTTGTAAAGGAAGTCATATTACAGTACACGTGTGTTTGCAGATGTTGGGTGTACAGGGAGCATGTCAGACGTGTCCAGGAGAGAACGCACGTCAGCTGGCCCGGATCGTTTGTGCTACAGTTCTAGCTGGAGAGCTGTCGCTGATGAGTGCACTGGCTGCAGGACAACTTGTCAAAAGTCACATGATACACAACAGGTAAACACATGTAGCTAATATGGCACACAACAGGTAAACACATGTAGCTAA